CCCATAATATAACAAAAACAAAAAGGAACCTAATTTATGCCCAATTTAAATGCTTTAAATGGTTCATCATTTATTTACCCTGTCATTCCAAACTTGTATGATTTTTTTTCTTCTGTTGAACATAAAAGAAGATGTTTTGAAGAATGTTCAAACTGTCCATAGACTTCCATTGTATGGACAAAAAACATTTCTCAAAACATTTTTTTTATATTCCACAGAAGAAAGAAAGTGTGGGTGAATTATCTCCTTAAATTCATGTTAGTTTATGTGAAAGTTTTAGATAGAACTTCTTCTGAATGACATCAAGCCACAAGAACAAAATGAAAATAAGCTTCTAGCGTTCATTAATCTCAGTGTCAGAGCAGAAATATTTGCCTGCTTACTGTTTATATAACATCAACTGTTTCCTCTATGAAGAAATACAAAGCAGATTTTGAATTCATAACAGCAATTGTTTTCCTTTTTTTGACATTTCTCCATGGTAATTCCCCTCAATCAACGTTGGTCTCATTGTATGGGAATGATAATCACCCAAATTGTCCACGGTGGCAGTATGAAAGTTACATTCCTAAATCAACAGACCACAGAATCTGCATCTGTGCAGTTCAGAACAATATAATGGCACGAAATCTGAAGAAAACTTCCTGTGTGGTTTTACGGTACATTACTGTCATGACCGTTAGTTTATAAGCTTTGTTGTTTTGATTGTTTGTAAGTACTTTTGCAGAAGTAAATTCATTTTACCATTTAAAATTATGTTGAAAACAGTTGCATCTCTCACAGAATTTCTCGATTTCCCATTCAAATTGTGCAGAGCTGTTTTTGTTCTGAGGCAAAATCTTGTTCTGCAGGACTGAACGGAGTGTTTGGAAAGATAAAGCAAAAATGAGATCTTCAACATCTATTTCAAACAAATTAATTTCATTTGGCCAGACAAGGATAGTTCAAGCAATATCCCTCTCTCGAGGTCTTTATCTCCTCTCATTGTAAACAATTCCATTCGTATAATAATAATAAAAAAAATACTACATACACACACACACACACACACATATATATATATGACACAATAAATATTCTAAATTCAAAAAAGATTTTTGGTAAGCTAACAAGTGACCACATTTCTGTAATATATTGGTCATTTATCCATTTCTACATATTTTCTCAAATATTTTAGATGATTTTTATTGAAATATTTTAAAACAAAGTAATACTTAAGTTTAAAAATCTATAATTTCAACAAGTAGTGAAATTTCCATTGCGAGTGTACATCATAACTGCATATATCAAAGGTAAATTATAAATACAATGAGGGAAACTGTAGGATCACATGCATTCATAACAGTTTTCTAATAGGATACATTTTAGTTTGCACTTAAACTAGAATGCTGTATAATGAAATCCATGTTCTTTCCAAAAGGTTTGGGCATTTACTATTTTACAAATCTTTTCCAAAACTGCGAATCAGCTTGCCAGATTTTTCAAACCTGTTTCATGCATCCCTTCTGAATGTACGATATGCAATACGCAGCATTACATACATCAAACTTAATTATGAAACTAGTGCCCACAAAATACTAAAGACTGGTAAAGTAGTAACTGAAGCGTTCTGGTTTCATGCACATGGTTATCAGCACTTTAATATAGCTGAATGCAAAGGCAGGTCATGCCATCAAACTCAGCGTTGGCCGGCTTGTCTTTTAGTGTGTTTTTCCCATTAAGATTTTCATACATTTCTGCGCATATGATTCCACTATTACACTCTGATGTTAAAGTTGAACTTGAGAACCCGAGGATCTGATTTGTAAACAAATCATTCAAATGGTTGAAAAGATCTGTTCAGGAATTGGACATCACCACTTCTCTCAGGAATGCAGCGGGGAAAGTGGTGAATCTCACGCCGTTTTTTTTTTTTTAAATAATGATCTACATTTTGGTATGAGGCTTCAGATTCATATGGACCATTTTATGACACTTTTATGGTGCTTTTTTGTCATTTTGGAGCTTGACAGTCACAGTTCTTGTTCATTTTCATCATATGGTCAAATTTGGAACAGGGTATGTGTCCCAAATATGAAGGATGTCATACAGGTTTAAAACGGTGAGTAAATGATGACAGACTATCAATTTTTGGGTGAACTGTTCCTTTAAGGTCAGGAATACCATATCAAGTCACTTTGAGCATCAGAGTAAAATATGAGAGTTTTGATGTTTCAGTACATTGACTGAGGTGGTTAGAGGACTGAATAATATTACTGGTCCCTGGGCTGTTGAGGTAAACTGTCAAAATATTTCACTTGGTAACCCCCAGGAAGCCATGCAAGCAGAGAACCAACCTACAGCCGGCTTTTCTTATAAGGGGTCCCGCTTTGGCTTCTCCATTCACCATAAAGCAAACTCTTGGGAGGTGTCAGGAGCCAAGTTGGGGCACTAAAACACTATTCCAAAGTCCTGCTGATGCCGTCTGGAAAATAAAAATGATCCAGGGCTAATGTTGAGGTCCATTCATATGGAGAGAGCTCAAATATGCATAATTTTCCAGCCTTAAATGAGGGTTAGCCCAAGCTTCATTAAAATTCATAATTTTGTGGTTCTACAAGGTCCCAGGTCATTGCTGACAGGACCGTATTTGACCCGTTCTAATACAGGCATTTCCTGCCAAAATAATACAATTTCGCTTCAGACAGAAATCAAGTCATATGTTCTGTGTGTAAAACATTTAACTAAAAAACCTAAAAGAATCATACAAGAGTGATATACAATGGGAAATAAACATTAAGCAAAACCTCTTTAGATACTAAACATTTAAAATATTTAAGTCCTGCTGATGCCGTCTGGAAAATAAAAATGATCCAGGGCTAATGTTGAGGTCCATTCATATGGAGAAAGCTCAAATATGCATAATTTTCCAGCCTTAAATGAGGGTTAGCCCAAGCTTCATTAAAATTCATAATTTTGTGGTTCTACAAGGTCCCAGGTCATTGCTGACAGGACCGTATTTGACCCGTTCTAATACAGGCATTTCCTGCCAAAATAATACAATTTCGCTTCAGACAGAAATCAAATCACATGTTCTGTGTAAAACATTTAACTAAAAAACCTAAAAGAATCATACAAGAGTGATATACAATGGGAAATAAACATTAAGCAAAACCTCTTTAGATACTAAACATTTAAAATATTTTATACATAATCAACATTGTAATTTGTACAATAATTACAATAATTCTATTAATATAGAAATACATAGAAGTACAAATGTTACATTTGAAATTTGCAAAAAATAATTAGCAAAAAAATGGACAAGTATGTCTCTTAACCATCTTTTATCGATTCAACTGCAAATGTGTTTATTAATAATGTGACATTCTATGGACAGAATGCAGTTTTAATCTTTTGCAGTCTAAATCATTCTCTGTGTGGTTTGTAATATGTATTGTTTTTTAACCTTCTGATGTTATTGAATAATAATATAAAATCATTTAAATTATAAAAATACATTTCCCATCAAGAGGAGAATATCTTCATGCCAGGTCGTCATATATAAGATTTTTCTTCTTATGTGAGCTGTCTGGTTAAATCAAGTATCAAAAATTACCATGTTCCACTAAAAAAAAAAAAAATGGACATGTGTCCTGCTCCACACCCCACTGCACATTTGTGTGTTTAGAAATCATTCCCATAAACATCACAAACAGACAATTACAATGTCCACTTGACAGAAAGTAGAGACTCTTGACGTAAACTAAAGCAATACACCACATAGTTGAGGGACAAAATACATTTACTTACACATCAAAATACCAGATATTTTACAATCATGAATATTTGAAAAATAAAATGCCACCAATACATCAGTCATACAGCACCTTTGTGAAGTGTTTTGTGACAAGCTTGATGCTTTGCCATGGAAATAGGTAATACATCCTAAAAAATTGGTCGCATTAAAAAACTCACACAGGGGGCTCAGTTCGAATATTTGGCTGGTAGAGGTTAAAGAGGAATACAATGTTAATCTGGCAGTCAGAGCGTCCTCAATCATCAAAGATCCACTCTGCCGTCATGTTAGCCATTTCCTCCCCTGCATCCAGGACAAATGCATGCCGGATGCCCCTCTCACACAGACGAATGTCCCCTTCAGGGAAGTCTTTTCTGATATCGTGGTAATACTGCACAGGGCACCAGTGATCCGTGGCTCCATAGTAAAAAATAAGCTGACAGAAGAAAACAAAATCAGCAGAGCAGATTAAGACATTAACATGATTTAAATTTGTTCTCATGCTGTATGTGGGATTCACCACTATGTCCATGTATCATAACAAGAGCAGAACTAAAACAATAAATATATCGAAAGGCTTTTCTGTTTTTCTGACAGCCACTTCAGCGAGAGCTAGTACCTGTATGTCACTGCTTGATAAAAACCTCATCTTTCATTTTAAAGGCACGATCTGTGATGTTAGAATAACAAAAGTAGCAGCCCTCCCATTTGATTTACATAGGAACTTAGACCACCACTGCTCCTTCATGTTCCTCAGCACACCTCAAGATGTCAGAAGTAACTAGAAGTATCAAATTATGAATGACGTCATAATTTGAAGCTCTAAAACTTTTTTTTCTTTGTGAAAAAGAGTTTAAACTATGGATGTCAATTAAAACATTTATTGGAATGAATTACATTATACACTAATCACAAATAATTGCATAAATCAATATCTGTTGAGAAAAGCCCCAATATAAAAGATAATTTTTTTAATCAGGGGACTTGAGAGTTTTTATATGTGACCCTGGACCACAGTCATAAGGGTACATTTTTCTAAATTGAGATTTACATATACATCATCCGAAGAAAAATTTAAGGGGGTCTGAATACTTTCCGTACCCACTGTACATTTACTTACACATATTTGAGAATCAAAATACCAGATATTTTACAATCATGAATATTTGAAAAATAAAATGCCACCAATACATCAGTCATACAGCACCTTCACCTTTGTGAAGTGTTTTGTGACAAGCTTGATGCTTTGCCATGGAAATAGGTAATACATCCTAAAAAATTGGTCGCATTAAAAAACTCACACAGGGGGCTCAGTTAGAATATTTGGCTGGTAGAGGTTAAAGAGGAATACAATGTTAATCTGGCAGTCAGAGCGTCCTCAATCATCAAAGATCCACTCTGCCGTCATGTTAGCCATTTCCTCCCCTGCATCCAGGACAAATGCATGCCGGATGCCCCTCTCACACAGACGAATGTCCCCTTCAGGGAAGTCTTTTCTGATATCGTGGTAATACTGCACAGGGCACCAGTGATCCGTGGCTCCATAGTAAAAAATAAGCTGACAGAAGAAAACAAAATCAGCAGAGCAGATTAAGACATTAACATGATTTAAATTTGTTCTCATGCTGTATGTGGGATTCACCACTATGTCCATGTATCATAACAAGAGCAGAACTAAAACAATAAATATATCGAAAGGCTTTTCTGTTTTTCTGACAGCCACTTAAGCGAGAGCTAGTACCTGTATGTCACTGCTTGATAAAAACCTCATCTTTCATTTTAAAGGCACGATCTGTGATGTTAGAATAACAAAAGTAGCAGCCCTCCCATTTGATTTACATAGGAATTTAGACCACCACTGCTCCTTCATGTTCCTCAGCACACCTCAAGATGTCAGAAGTAACTAGAAGTATCAAATTATGAATGATGTCATAATTTGAAGCTCTAAAACTTTTTTTCTTTTTGAAAAAGAGTTTAAACTATGGATGTCAATTAAAACATTTATTGGAATGAATTACATTATACACTAATCACAAATAATTGCATAAATCAATCTCTGTTGAGAAAAGCCCCAATATAAAAGATACTTTTTTTAATCAGGGGACTTGAGAGTTTTTATATGTGACCCTGGACCACAGTCATAAGGGTACATTTTTCTAAATTGAGATTTACATATACATCATCCGAAGGCTGACTAAATAAGCTTTTCATTGATGTATGGTTTGTTAGGATAGGACAATATTTGGCTGAGATACAACTATTTGAAAAACTGGAATCTGAAGGTGCAAAAAAATATAAAAAAAATTGAGAAAATTGCCTTTAAAGTTGTCCAAATGAAGTCCTTAGCAATGCATATTACTAATCAAAAATGAAGTTTTAATATATTTACGGTAGGAAATTTACTAAATATCTTCATGGAACATGATCTTTACTTAATATCCTAATGATTTTTGGCATAAAAGAAAAATGTATAATTTTGACCCATACAATGTATTTTTGGCTATTGCTACAAATATACCCAAGCGACTTATGACTGGTTTTGTGGTCCAGGGTCATATATTATTATTTGTACTAATTAAGGCAATAAATTGACAGCTCTAGTCAAGATATAATCAGTCACATCTTTGGCAGATAAAATTCATCATGTGCCATAAATCTATAAAGCAGAATAACTTAATAAATCATATAGAAAGTCTTTAACAAAGGCGAGGCACACTGAGAACTTCACAGAGGATCCAAATGGGAAAACAATCAAGATTGTGTTTCAATAACACAAAATTTAAGAAAGATTGACATTAAATACACTACGTCCACCACATCCCCTCGGACACCAGTGTGGACACTTGAAGGGTTTTTCCTTCAGTCAGGCTGCCGTAACCTCGGCTGAACGGTGCCAATAACATCAATGTGAAAGGAAAAACCACCCGTGCAGATTTCTAAAGGCTATTTTTTGGTGAGACCTCGAGAGCCGTACACAATAGAAAGATCAAATTCTCTTGTCAACTGCTTTGCATGATTTCTATGACAAACTGCATAATGTTTGGCCTTTGCCGACTGTACCAGTTAATCGTGATGGGTTCTACATCTGTCGGCCTGATCGATTTCACCACAGCCCATAAATCTAATAGAGGAGTCAGATGCATGTGGTTTAAGGCTGAGAGGGGTTTAAACATATGACCTCCTGTCTTCACCTTCAGCTTTTTCGGAAGAAAATGATTCTAGCATCGCTATTGGCAAGCTAGACGGACTGCGAAGCCGATACCAAAGAATGCCACATACTTTGACACCCATACAGACAATGGTTGTTAGAGAAATGGAAGAGCTTCCTTCCACCATCGAATTATGGGTGGGATGCACAGATCAGACAGGGAAAAATTCGACCGGTTTCCAGGCTCAAGGAATTTCTTCAAGTCGAGGTGCTATGTGTAACATAAGATGCAGGTCTCGAGTATGCAACTCTTAAGAGCAGTGAAGATATCACCTATTTAACGGATGACAGATATAGACCATAAGCAGCCCCGTCCTCCTCCCTCTGCATATGTATGCAGTCTCTGCTTTGCATCACACCATGGTACTGAAAGGTACATATGGTTCTTCTGCCATGCATCCATTGAGACAACCGAAGCGTGGGTTGGAGGAACGTTCTTTGAGATCTGATATTGTTTGATTGGTTATCAGCTCTCTGAGGGTGAGTCAGCGTGGGCTTCATCTGCGTCTAACATGTTTAGAGGCTTCCCAAATCTCTTTGATCAGCGCCGTTAATATGTAGGAAATTAAGGAAAGCTGCATCAACTCATTGTTTCTGTAAAAACAAATACCCATGCATGGGGAACAATGCTGTTGGCAAGTTACTTCTGTGATTTGTTGAATTTATTACAGTCTTCTTCTAGTTATGCATCAACATTTCGGCCACAAACTAAGAAAAATGGCCAAAAATATGAACAAAAACCTGTACTTGAAAACAGAATTTTTTAACAATTACAGTTAATGAGATCAAACATTTTAGGGATGCACAACATATCTGAAGCATATTGATTATCAGCAATTATTAGAGTTTAAAAAAAAAAAATCAATAACAGTAAATTTTCCATATTTAATTGTGCATTCCACTATTTTACATTTAGATTACCGTTGCAGTCATGAAACGCTCACTTTAAGATAATTTTTTAAAACAAAATAAATATGCATTTTCATAGTGTACATTATGATGCCTAAATCCACTTGTAACATTTGAAATGACTGTTTTTAGTCTTTTAATTGTATTTATTTAGACAAAATAGTATAAAATAGCATTACTGGCAATTTATTATGGCTACAGAACTTTTAGCAAATTTTAATATCACTGAATCCCTACCTAATTGTAATATTTATCTATGTTAAATATAATGCATATTTTAATGTATTTCCAGAAGTGACACTGGATGTGTACATTGACTGATTACTAAAGATACCACACTTGTTTGCCTTATGCATTATAGGGACAGTAGCTATGTTTCCATCCACCTATTTTTATGCGCATTTTGGAATATCACATAAAAAAAATGCTGGATGGAAATGCCAAGATGCGCATAAGTTGTAAAAATGCGCATAAAAAACCTATGCACACAACTGAGTAGGATAAACCTTTTATCCGATAAGAAAAAATGCACATAAACTACGATGGAAACACATTTACCGAATAAATTCCACCATGCGCATGGAAAAAGTCATGTGACTTTGCGCTATGAGACGGGATAAATTGACTAACCAGCGGACCGATCTCTATATGTTGTTTTGGTCATTCTGAAATGCCTGAGGAAATTCTGTCATCAAAGTATTTCTGTATAATTACTGTCTTACAAGTAGGGCTGTGCGATATGGACAAAAAAAACCTATCGTGATTTCTTTGATCAATTTTAGCATGACTGCTGCAGACGCACCGCTCCTGGAGCACACTGCCGGACCGCAATCTTGTGCAGTGTGAACGCTCTGATCCGTTAACATGGGCGCAGAAAAAATACGCACCCCCGCCCGGTCTGTTGCGCGCTGCATTCTGATTGGTTCGGATAGCATACTGCGGGAGGTCGAGGGCACGGAAAATCGTGCTCTAAAGCGATTTAGAAATCGCGCAAGCTCAAATCGCGATTTTATGACGATTTCGATTAATCGCACAGCTACAAGACTGCGTTTCCAAACAGCATATGAAAATTATTATATTCAGTGGCTTCTCCTAGTTTTCTTATGGCGCTTTTCCACTGCATGGTACGGCACGGTACGGCTCGGGACGGGTCACTTTTTTGGGGGGTTTCACTTGGGGCCGGACCTGGGCACTTCTGTTGGGGTTCCAAGTGAACTGTACCGTTACCAAAATGTGACGTGTAAACTCTGCTGATCACGGATTGGCCGGAGAGAATCGTCACTACCTGCGTCACTGAACTTGCAACACAAATACAACAGAACTGCTAGATTTAAATCAGCACAGCCAGCGAAGGATCGGACGCAACGGTTTTGAACGAGCGCACCTTTTTTTAACAACCAAAAAGTTTTGTTGTCTGTTGCGGAAGAACAGACGTTCCTCCCGTTGATAGCAGAGGAGCGGATCCAGCGAGAGCTTGATGGGGCGATGCGGAATGAAAAAGTTTTTTTTTTTTTAGGAGTCGTGGTAGTAGAGGTAGCGCAACTATAACGACATGTGAATAATCCCGCCCACTCTAAAGCGGTACTGAACTGCAGTGGAAATGCAAACCGAGCCGAGTCGTGCCGTACCGTACCGTACTGAGCCGTACCGAGCAGAGTCGTACCACAATTAGTGATATTTAGTGCCAGTTTACCAGGAAGTGAAAATTTTGTTCTCTTTGACTCGTTGGATGGAAACGGTGCTTTATTCGCAAATGTTTAACGCAATATTCCAGTTTTGCGCACAAGTTAAATTCGCATCTTTGGATGGAAACATAGCTAGTGATAGTCTAATGCAACATCGCATGTAATGCACTGAAGGATACAGATGTTCTTGTATTAGACACAAATCAGTTCAAGACTGTTTGGAGTTTGTTTAAAGTCAATTGATAAATATTGACAGTTATTTCCATACTGTCAACAACATTTCAAATATTGTTTCTTCCTTCCTACGTGAAGAAACCAGTTCACTTTAAAAGATATCTTTAAAATATTAATAGAATTGTTTGTTATTCCAAACACTCATATTTACTGTTCAAATGTTGTGTGATCATTACCTTGCTGAGGTGTTGACGTACAGTTGCGTTGTCTCTTTCTACAACCAGTCTCATTTCTTGGCTTCCCATGTACATACCGTTGGCTGCAGAGACAACAACAGAGACAAACATGTAGATTAGCATGTTACAAAACTGTAATAAATCAGGTAGTGCAAACATAACTTAGTAAACATTTGCATAAGACATCAGCCTCTGCGGGTTTACTAAACACGAAGAGTATCAAAATTAAACACACCCAGAAACACTGCCGCAACCTCAAAGGGCAGCGCTCGTACAAACACAGAAACAGCAAACCAGATCATGAGGATTACATCTGTTCCCATTCACATTTACTGGATGTACACTCATACTAACAGTTTAATGGTGTGCAATGATGTCATTGTTTTCACGTTTAGATTCTGTGTGCTGAAATGATTTGTGTCGTTTGTGAATATTTCATACTTTGTGCCCCCAATTTATGAATATATTAGTTGCGGGATACACATTACTGATATCTTTTTTGCATTTTAATATGAAACTATTTATAATTTATATTAAATACGAACAGTATCATATACATATTTATATATACATATATGGGGGTTCGAGGGGATGTGGCTTGTCATGTGACATACAGCAGCCACGATAGCACTGTGTAAATGATATAGGCTCATGTTTTATTTATTTTTTCCTTATTATTCAAAATATTCCCAAACGCGTTACCCACATCATGAAATATCTCGATTCTCCAATATGTGTGAGTAAATGCATTTTGCATTTGCATTTAGTTGATCTATAATGGGCAAAGGGCAAAATAGCCTAATAGTGTAATCTATTAACTACGCATAAAAACCTGTAAGTACCACATTTGGGAGTCATGCATTTTATTTATTTTTTATATGACTGACTTTGTATTTAATGTGAATTAGAACACTTTCATTGTACAGAAAGAAAAGAAAGAACATTTACATTATCAAAGAACATTTTCAAGCACTATCAACTCTCATTATAATCACTGAAGCTGTCGTATGAACATCTGCACTTTGTTGTTTCTGATGAGAGAATTCGCCAGAGAGCAGAATTCAGTCAGCGAGCAAGTGAACTAAACACCGGCGTTTCAGCGATGACTCATCTGAATGCCTCTAATTTGGTCATTGCATTCATAAGCTCAACAGAATCGTGTGTGACTGATGCTGTGTTGCACTGCATGTTCTAATCACGCCGGTGCTATTGTATGAAATATAAAAAAATATTATTCTGCAATTTAAAAAAAATATTTTTTTTGAAGGTGCATTTAAAATTCACTTAATCTCAAAAAATCTCAGCTCGAAAATCTGAGGGGGCACTTGACTCTGTGTGTGTGTGTTAAGTTTTGACTGTAGGCAAATAATCAGCTTGTTGCAGTTATTCAACCAAATCATGCTAATCTGCGATAACTACAATCACCGTGAAGTTTAAATCTCACTTACATACCATATATTTAAATAAGAACATATTTCTGGTATTTTATGGTACTTTAAGAGTTTGATTCACCTTATTTTTTAAATTCTCAAACTTAAAGATATTGATTTATTTGGTAGCACTTTAGCATAGGGACCAATTCTTACTATTAAGTTGCTAATTAGCATGCCTATTAATAACATATTGGCTGTTTATTAGTACTTATAAAACATTTATTCTACATGACCATATTCTATATCCCTAATCCCACCCAATACCTAAATTTAACAACTACTACCCAATACCTAAACTTAACTAACTATTAATAAGCAGCAAATTAGGAGTTTATTAAGGCAAATGTCATAGTTAATGGTTTATTAATAGTGAGAACTGCTTAAAATAAAGTGTAACCATATAATTTTTAATGAAGGCTGGGATGGTTGAAAATACATAAAATAAGACAGAAACACTGCATATTATTTGTGAAAAAGAAAGAAAGAAAGAAAGAAAGAAAGAAAGGCTGGATGGTTGAAAATACAGAAAATAAGTTAAGACAGAAATGTTGCATATTATTTGTGATAAATAAACAAACAAATCAATAAATAAAAGTATTCTTTATTTTATTAATATTCAGGTGGGCAGATTACAAAAATCAAATGGAGAGTGGAATTAAACTAATTTAAACATTATTAACAAATTGCATTATTTAATATTTAGAATTTTATAATAATATTTCTCAACCCTGTGAAATTATTTGTATGACAAATAATCATCAGACCAAATTTCATAAATGTTACAACCCTTTGATTTGGGGTAGAGGGGGGAGGGAGACAAAACAAAACACAAAAAAAACACTTTTTTATTTTTTTACCAGGGGTTCACTTCAAAATATTTTGAGTTGATTATTTAAATTAAATTGTTGTATAAATTTAAGCCCATTTTCAAATAACAAACTTTATGCAGGTAATGCAAACGCTAGGACTACATATAGGAGGAAAATCCCATGAATGAGGAGAAGGTAAGGGAAAAAGAGGGAGAAGGGTGTGCCAGACTTGGGGCAGTGATCTGCGAGACATCCCCTGTTCTATCTCACTTATCTCCAGGGGGGTATCGGGCTGGGGGGTTTGGCAGGGCACAGCATTCCAGTCAATTTTACACATCCTCACACATGCACCTAGTTAACAACTGACTGGAGAGGTAGAAATGAGGGATACGTGCGCAAAAAACGCACACAAATACACAAACAGACAAACACGTGGCGATATTTTATTATCTCCTGTGAGCATTCTGCCATGGGTGCCTCCATGTGGCAAGACACAAAAACAAGATGGGTATTTGAACATAACCTGTTCAATGTGGACTTTCTACATCAACATCAAGATTTTCATTTAATATTAGTTTTAAAAAGTTTAGTAAATTTCTGTTGAAACTGCCATGTCAACTAACCATATACACAGTGAAAGTGATCAAGCTAATTATAATTCATAATTGAGCCAAATGTTCAACTACAGTAAACATCTAATCTTCATAGTTTTATAAAAGAAAAACAACCGTAAAACACTGTAGTGATTCAAGGAGCAGAAGGAGCCTTACAAACAAACAAAAGCTTTTAAATGTTTCATCCTGTTCAGTTCAGATACAGATGGGAACAAAAAGTTTTCTTCTTCCACTATGCTTTTACACCACACACTCCTTTATTGGTTCTAAAACCATCTATTTACTTCTTTCCTTCAGTCACTTTGCATTAGTAACACAAACAAGACAATTTCAAGTTCATGACGGCACAATTGTCTGAAGTCCATGGACACAGAAAGTACAGCGTGTTATCCAGTTTCTCCTCCGTTTACACGGACCACAGAATCACAATGTGCTTCTCTTTATTCTATTTGCCTTTAAAAGAGCTAAGCGAATATGACAATTATATTCTCCCTTCCAATTCAATAACACATGCCGTAATAGAAAGTCACAACAACCGAAATACAATACAGGTTTCATTTTCGTTACTTTAAAAAGAGCACAAGGTGGGTGGCCGTGATCCATTGCACCTCAAGTAAAGTCACACAGAGCAGAAATTTAGGAGAGTTACATTAATAAACAAACCTTGCATTATCATCTGTCATCACTTTTTCATTCATACCCCTAATGAACAGGATATTCCTATTCGGCCCTTTGGGGTGGCTTGTGTTTCCTTTTTTCATGATACATCACACCTGATGACCAGGTTGTGAAATTAACTATAACTACTGTACTAACTACTGCTAGAGAAACTACAATTTCAGCATGGCTCTATTATAAGGAAAGGTCAACCGTTCAGCCATATATCAAAAGCAACAATGAGAAAATGACATTTTTAGGGGATTTTTTTTACTGCCCTCTGGGCTAACACAAGAGTTGCAGATGTGGTTCTTGGATCTCAAGTAAAATAATAATATAAAAATAATATAAATGACTAGCCCATGGACACAATGTCATAAAATGACAAACCTTTAATATCAGGCAGCACAGCGCTCTACGAAGTGTGGAAAATCAGGAATCTATGTATTCAGCTTCGACATGATCAAATCCTGACACTCCATTGTATCATATAATGATTTTCAAATGGAGTAAATGATGGATGTCACAATCCTCAGTCCTTCAAACCTTCAACAGATAATGAAATCAAACATCATATCCTCATCATATCTATGATTACAACAGACAATAACACAACATTTAGTTCTTCAGAAAATCTCAGGATAATCAAAATGAACCAAATACAATGCAATTTAACTCTAGCACTGAAAACAGATGCAACAAGCTTACACGAGTGTACATAAAAATAGATATTTCCAATCCAAAAGAGGACTTATGTGGATCAGCTAATTTTAAGATTTAAAAGATGATCCTGTTTGTTTGTGTAAAACAGTTACAGTAAGTATCTCAAAGATGCCTGGCACCACATTGAGCACAGCATCTTTCTATTGTGTCCTGCTCCATCTAATGGTGATGTGCAGGCAAATACTAGAACAGCTTCCATGGACATGGTGACTAAATTGTTTTAAGACTACTTCTTGGTATGGTTGCCGGATGATGTATTTTTGTTTGTCTGTTAATGCGAAATGGTCCGTATGAATCTTTCTCAAGATTATAAAATAAGAACATCTGCAAGGAAATAGATTGATCACTTTAAAACATGGTAGAGCATTATGGTTATCATGTCTGACCTCATAAATGTCATATGGCTACTGCCAAGATGCTTATAGGGGAAGTTCACCCAAAAATAAAAATTCTGTCATTAACTCACCTTCATGTCATTCCAAATCTGTATTACATTATTTATTCTACAAAAAAACAAGAATGTTGGTAAACAAACTGTTTTGGTAAACATTAAATTACACTGTGTTGACAAAAACACCCTGAGAAATTTCTCAAAAGAAAGAAAGTCATACCGGTTTGGAACAACATGAGGGTGAGTAAATGATGACAGGATTTTCAATTTTGAGTGAACAAACCTTATAAGATTTTGAGGCACACTGAAAAAAAAAACATTCCACTAGACGTTCCCATTGTGTTTTGACCGTCAATGAGGAACAAACACTACAGGAAGAAACAATAATTGATCAACAGCCAAGTAACTTTGTGTTTTGTTCCATTAGAATTCTACTAATATAAAGGTGTTCCGCATACTGGCCGACTTTCCAAGCAGAAACAGGTGGCCGGAGGAGGAAGTGAATATGACTCAAAAGTAAGGTGGCAGATAAGAAGTTCAGGAGTTTAGCCTCTAGGTTCCAAAATCAGGTCGACATTAACTTTGTTCCGCTCTAACAGGAAAGGAAGCCACTTGCCGCTACGCTCTGTTTTCCCGCTTTCCCAGGTGAGTCAAATTATGATCGGAACAGCAAAAAGAACTAAAGACAGAGGAGTTTAATCTGCGTCTCCAATGATGGTGGGTCAAATCTCTCGGTTCTCATAAATTAGGCCAACAGAAGCCTGGATAGAAATGTACACGAGTGTTCAATCATAAAAAACATGTCATGAGAACTGGCATAAGTGGTTAGGTGAGTGAAAACAGAAGCTGTGTGGAGTGTTGCAGTCTACTGAAAAGATAAAGTATATTAGAGACCGTTACAAGCCGCTTTCCCTACGGATTTGCAAGCAGGCACGCCTCATTGACGTTTATGCTCCTAGATGCAGAACCTTGATGTCTGCATGACAGACATTGTATGCATGCTCCACTTGCAGTTAACATCAAAATATCAACATTCTCAGTTTCAAGGAAAGGGATTTCTGAGCAAATAAATCCTTAAATGTGCCCAGGAAGTTCCAGCTAATAGCAACATGCTTTCTTAATTAAGTCTGTCAACTCGCCATTAATTACGGATGTAATACAAGACAGAGAGTCAGAGCAGCTTTTCGTATACGCAGTCACGGGCCAGCACTCAATGGTACAAAACGCATGCATGCACATGTGTACATACAGGACCACCTGGCCTATTCAATAAATAACTTCCTCGCAGCAAAGTATTTCAACATTTGTTGGTATTTAATAAGGAACAGGGGGAAAAGTTGAACATTTGAACATTTCGTTCAGATGAACAAAAAAAACCCTAAATCCATTCCAATTGACACTACATGAGAAGTGCTAATGATTAAAAGCATGCTTACAAGCGCTGTCAGGAGCAAACCTCCAACTCCCTCCGCAACATAGGGAGAGAAAAAGAGAAAAGAACCTAAAGGTAGAACTGACAGCATGAAAAAAGGAGAAAAGAAGTGCGAGCGAGCGAGAGAACTGGTTCTTCAGAGCGACTAGAGAGTGGAGCTCACACTAATGCCTCTGGGCTCGACTGAGGCCTCTTTGGCAGAGACTCTCCGGCCATCAACCCATCCATCACTCTCCTCCCTGAACAGACAGGGAAAACACTCAGCCTTTCACCTAGAGAGAGACTATGTTAGCAGTCCGTTCGCTTGCTGGAGAGGCCTCTTAATTACTCCTACTCACAACACTTCATCTGCATGATTAGTCCATGTACCGAAAGCCCTGGAGATTAAATACGAGTTATGATAAATAAAACTTTATTCAAAACAATGTGAGACAATGCTCTCTTGGCTGCCACTCAAATATTATTTGCGTTTTCCCCCTCTTCGGCCTCAACTTTTTTATCTGAACTAAATCGGCCAAATCATCTTTGAAGTGGTGATATACTTCTTATCGTCCGATAAAAAGAGAGAGAAACGCATCTGAGCAATGGGGGTTTGGAGGGATGCCAGCATGTGAACTTTTGAAAGGTTTCAGCACCTCATTGAAACAAGGATTAGGTCTTTGGAGCAGAGTCCAAACTGGAAATGGAGAAGTGAGGGGACATCACTGAGGTGAACAGTAAGGTTGCATGAGAGTTACACTTTAGTGGAATATTAAAGATGCTGCACTAGATTATCACATGCTGAGATGCATCCTGACAACAATAAATCATCACCACTGAACAAACCAAAAAACACATTATAATCAGTAGCTGACAAATTAATTAATTAATTTAATAAACAAACAAACAAGGGCTGGAAGAATCAGGACAATTAAACAGCCAATATTTGGTTATTTATTGTACCAGTCAATAATTTTTCTAACCAGGTAGATAAAAACGATCTATTTTAAACCATTTGAAGTTCAAACATTTACCATTATTTTATTTTCATTCTCTCAATATTTAATTTTGATAAACAATTCTGAGTAAATATTGATTAAAATAACTGTTCATTTAAATTTACAGATTTTGTGTAAACTGTACACAAGTCAAATATTAGTGCACATATGAATCAATAATTAAAAAAATAGAATATTTGATTAATTTAAATTCAGCACTTTTGTGTACATCTGACCTTATTAGCTATCATTTAAGTGTAATAAATATAATGGTATAAATGTATATAAATTGTGTGTGTTTGTGGGTGTGTGTGTGTATACACGTACACACACACTTCAACAAAAATCTTTATAAATAAATGAATGAATGAATTAATTGACTACTGAAAAAAACGTATCGGTTATTCACTAAATTACACCACCCAACACACATTAAAATGGATTTCTGGAGCTTGTTCTATTGAAACAACAAAGTAAAACGTTTACTCACCTGCACAGTCTACATTGATCAGGCTGACGGTGGCTGGGATGATGGAGGTGTCCACTGCATAAAAATTCCTCAGAGCCAGACGCACTATGCTGACCTTCAGCCTCTCTGGAAGGAGGGAGAGCAGGAAGATGGGCAAATAGAAGGCGTACCGCAGCCGGCAGAGCACAGGGGTCATGATCTTGCCTTGAGGGCTACAGGCCATGCGCTCAATCGTAGGGAAGAGCATCACCGCCTTCACAACCTGAGGATGACAAGTACAGATGGATTTTAGAGATGAATGTAGGTCAGGAAAACTCTGCTTTCTCTTGAACCATCTACTTTTAGTCAAAGTAGTTAACAGTTTGGTTAAGTAACCGACACTTAGGAAAAACAAGACCAGCAGAGCAATATGTGACTTACTGAGATGCAACGTATAATATTTATGACAGCAATGTGAGCAGTTTTAATCATAACAAATGACACACCTTAATTTCAATGCTTAAGAGTTATCAAACTATGAAAAATGACATATTTGTGTTCTCACTATATTATGAAATCGATAGGAGAGACAAGGGAAGGAGGGAACAGAGAGGAGAGAGAGACTTCCAGAAACAGGAAACACCTGCCTCTGTTTGGCCATTGAGTAGAAGGCAGCTAGACTCATTCAGTGAGTAAGACAGAGTGGATGTGCTTCATCTGTCTCTACAATCCTTTGCAGTTGCAGCCAAGTATTTTTCAATGAAACTAAACAGTGCAATATCTTCAATTCTCTTGTGTAAAATATGTGATAGCCAGCACAATTCTTTGTCAGCAGTGCCAAATGCAATCTATTCAGCTTCAAACCACTAAACTTCAAACTCAGCTAGTTCTGCAATCCTGAAAGAGTGCTGGTTTCATCACGCCCCGGCAACAGGCGAACAGGCAAAGTTCTGCTGCCGCTGAATTTATCATCTGAATGGGCCTTATGGAACTGAAAAATATCTATTGCTGTCAGTGGAAAAGATATCAAACCCCAAATGGATGAGAGATTCACAATCCAGAGTCCCTCTGTCGTAACAATTACAATACAAACCATCAAATGAGTGGAGATTAAACGAGTTGCTCTGCTTACACGTGAAGAAATAATCAAATTTCTTCAATATACAAAGTACTCAGCTGTAAACTACATTTTCTGGAGTAAATGTGAACGGTGCTTGAGGTGTAAAACCATGATGCTAGGTGTTCTGGGTGGTTGCCAAGACTCTACTATGCAGTTGCTCATGTTTTCTGAACCATTGTTAGCACATTGCTGTGTTAGCTGCCGCGTTCTAAGCAGCTGTTAGCACATTACAATGCAGCTGACAGTGTGTTCAAAGCTGCTAGCATCTTATTGTACGGTTGCTAGTGAGTTCTAAAGGTCCAGGCATACTTATTTTTCCACATTCCACTTTATCTTGTGCACAGCCATGTCCGCACAGCTTTCAAAAGTATGCGTCTGTCCAAAAACCCTCACTTGCAGTCTTAGTCACTTGAAAGAGCGTGCACACAACAGTGAGCAAGACTGTCCCAAGTCTTAAAAATGCCAAAACTAAATCCACACTATCCATACCACTCTGGAGTGGTGTTCGAGGCTGTGTGTGTCCCATCATGCATCATGTAATGGAAATAAATTGTGAGACTTTTTGCCGAGACCTCACAAAATGTTGCAGAAACCTTTCCAGTGCAAGTTAAATATGAATGATAATTAGATACTATGTATAATTTGGTAGTAAAACAAAGTGTTCTACATTTTAGTATTTGGACAGGCCCTATACTCACTCTCGGATGAACGAGTTTGACACGTGCAGTAATGCTAAGCCCTAATACTAAGTATGAATACGAGTAATAGTTATAATGACAGTGGCCACTAATAAATCTATACAAAACCATCTAGTCCACATACCACTCCAGGAATCATTCAACCCTCTCACATAATACTTTTCATCTGCTATTGCATTGCTTATCCTGATGCCCATCAGTTGTCAGACAAAGAGAGAGAGAGTGGAAAAGAGGTAGTGAAAGAGAGAGGGAAAGGTGAAGAAGAGGGAGTGTGTGCGGAGCAGGTGATCTTTGATGTGCAAGTAGTGCTTTTGACAAGAAGCAGTTCCTCTTCCTGGAGGTCACAGGAATGTAACAGAGAACACAGAACAATCTGACAGAGTCTTTGGGAGTGGCTCTTTAATCAGAGAGACAGACGGCCAGTCACACACACACACTTCTACTTCTAGAGGGTTCCTTCTCTGGTACTGCTGAGGTCAGTAAGGGGAAAGGAGTTCTCTGCATCTGGAGAAGGGGCGAAGAGAGTTTAAACGTCACAATTTGACTTCCACAGATCTGAGATGTGAGGGTGCGATCTGATAGTGGAGGAATGTTAATGATGCACAGATCTACTGGAGCTTCAGACAGCATGATGGATCATACGGCAGTCCAGACCACATCTCTTTCAACTCAACCACTTACAGTGAGTGAATATCTCAATGGGAATGTGTTGCAAGGGCCGCCTCCACTCACGTCAGCACTGCTCTGCTCTTTTCGAACGTAGCCTTGCTGCCAGGCTCCAGAGTGGGAATAGGCACGATAGTGGAGTGGCGACATAATGAACACTGCTGGAAGGCCCACCTGAAGCTGACAGTGCCCCATCACTGCTAACCTTAAATGCCAAATGCGTCTTTGGGAAAAAAGACTGGTCAGCTCCTCATAGGTCCCAGGAGAAAGCATAAAGGAATTCCTAGAGGTGGGCAATATGACCAAAATCTTATATCACGATATAAGCAATTTTATTTCACGGGAGCGATGTATATCATGGTATAGTTATTTTTTATTTAAATAATCAACATTTTTGATATATAAATTTCATAATTCTTGTCACCAGTGTCAATATCACAAAAAAACGTCATGAGCGTGTAACCGAGAAAGAGACGATAGTCCAAAATCGGTTAATCGTGTCTACCGGTATAAACGCCCACCCCTAGGAAATCCCATGTCACTTTTATTTAGACCAATAAAAAAACACCAGGTCAAGCCAGGATGCCAGGCCACCATAACCCTTACTCTCCAGAGGGTCAAGGGAAACCACTGCCCCTTGCGTCCCAGAATGAACAATAACAAAAAATGTCGCTGTAAGTGTTTTCTCAACCGTGTGACTGCATGTCCAATGGGCTGGACGGTCCGTGGTCATGTCTGGGAGCTTTAAAATCTGGAGATGTTGTGAGGGTAATCTGAGCCAGGGCTATGTGCTGTAATGTTTATGCTTGTGTTTGGCTCATGCTGTGACTGTAACAATGTTTTATTTGAGTGAAGTATGAAATCATACCAATAATTCAGTACTGTCAGTGTGACCTCTGCTCCCCGAATGTAGGCCCACCCAGAACGCAGCGACACACACTCGCCCACAAGTTAATCTACACACCCAAATCCTCATGTCCTGGACAAGAAAGACACATTGTAGTGTCAGGGGAACTTGAGCGTGCCATCAGTCCACTGAAGAGAATGACGGGACTTGTTAAGCATTATTCCTAGCAACCATCTCCAAGAATCCCTTCGGCTTTCCAATAGAATGCATCTCGTACAGATTAGAACATAAATCATACAGATTTAGAACAACATAAGGGTGAGGAACAGATATCTGTTAATAATAAAACGCAAAGTGTTCTTCAGCCAACAGCTGTTAAACCAAACTATACATCTGTGCAGACAAATGTAGGAAATGGCATCACCTTCCCGGGGCACATGGCAAGATGATTGCTACAGGAGGAGGCATAAAGCATTTTCCTCCTCACCTAAAAGAGCTCTACCTCAGCTGAGGTGTCGGGTGGAAAAAGGTCTTTACTGCAGCCTCACATCTGAGTGACAAATCAATTTCTTTCTTTAGACTGTCTATTCTACAACTGGTACATATACAGTGTCACTTTGTTACAACAAGCAAGTACTTCAAAAGGCATCAGGGAAGACTTGTGAACTGGACTCATGTCAGAGACATACAATTGAGCACCTCCATATGCAGTCAGTCAAACTCTTCCTCTAGTTTTGGGGAGGTTTTCCAACCTACCTCATGCTGCTCCTGGTCTGAGGCTGAAATCTGCAAACATTCTCCTCCAGAAATGCACTAAAGAAACCCCTACCATCATTTAAACTGACTGGTCTCTTCCATTCCAAAATAAATATCTAGAGCCCATAGTAACAGTTTCTGATTATCACACATCATATGTTACCAGGCATAATCGCCAGGTTGGCTTCCTGGCAGCCTGCAATCTGGGACGAAAAAGGAAATCTTTTTCTCCTTCGAGCATGTTTGCTCTGAGCCATGCCATATCTGCCTACATCGTACAGGGATTTAACTAGCCATAATTTGAAAAGACCAGATTCAGACGAGTATACAAAAGGTCTACATGGTTGGCAATGTTTTAATGACCTGGAATTAAAAAATGTTCACCGATTATGAAAGAGGACCTTAAAATCGATGAGTGAGATTGAGATTGGGACCAGCTTTTCGACTGAAGTTCTTGAACTAAATCCCTAAAAGTGGTTTGGATGTGGATTGTATCCAAAAGTATCAGAACATATTTTTATCGCACTGCAAAAAGTGGTACATAAGTGCACTGGCCCCATTAATGAAGCTAAAATCAATTTATCTTTGCCAGGAGGAAAACATGCCCCTCTAGTTAGAGGAAATACTAAAAAGGTAGAGAAAATGCTTAAAAATAAAAATGACGAAGAGCACATCTTAGAGCAGGAAAACCCCAGAGGGAGAAAGAAAATCAAGGTTCTTTTCCATGTTATTTAATCTCCTGACCTTTTACACAACAAGGAAAGGGAACAGAAGTGTCTTATTATGCTGCTGATTGGCAGTGTCTCGCTTTGCTTTCACACATTACATACTTTCATGCAGCGACCATGTTTTGGCGGCATGTCCTCTAATGGCAAAGTTGCAAATCGCTGAGGTGGTCTGCGGAGGTTATGCAGACAGCAGTACTGTAGCCGTTATTCATACTGTTTTAAGTGGAGAATCAGACAGAATCAGTAGATAGTCTCTAAGCAAGGCATTGAAACAGGAAAGATGTTGTGGGTCAACGAACTGGGGTACTTTTTCAATTCACTGTCAGTGTTCAATGAGAAATACCTTACTAAGCAAGTATCGGTCATTTAATTAATTAATCACAAATATAATCTCTATGTTTTGGCAGGGGGGATAATTAAATTCAATTAAAATAATTAATTAATTCAAAATAATTCATTTAAAAGTGAGACCATATCCAGCAACTAGTAAGATGTGTGTTTCATTAATAGTCACATAGTAGTTCCATGGACTTTCTTATCTAGTTGCTTATACCTTTAGCTCTGGGTCTCTCTTCATCATCTCCAAAATGATGTAGCAACCGATGGAGTGACCAATCAGCAGCAGGTTGGTGTCCCGAGGCACATGCTTTCGAAGGAAGGCCAGCTTGTGTTCAATCTGCCCGTTTAGCCCAAAAACATCCTCCTTCTCAGTCACAGATGCATCTTTGAATTAAAAAGAGGGAAAACCTGCATAAAGCTCTTACACCAAACCCAATGTACATCACATGGTGGCCAGGACTGTAGCCAGTACTTTCATCATGACCTAGAACTAATAAATACAGCAAATAATATAATTAGACAAAGCTGCCTAGTTTGATCGATTGTGGAGCTCCGATCACAGCTGAATGAGAACTGTAAAGGATCCAGAAGACACATTAAATTGTTAAGCTCTCCATATAAGACGTTTTCTTTCATCATCTTGATCTTGTTCTTCATTATTTCTTTGGAAGGGAGTAAAATTACGCTCTATTGAACAATCGCAGTAACTGGAGATCCTGATAATGCTTGGCAGGCTTTGATATTAATATCTTCCTACAGGTGCTGAATTCACCAGTATGAACCCGAGAAAGGGTAAGAATTAGAAAGACAATGGAGTGCGCAGAAACAAAGGAATGACAGAAGAAGAGAGAAGAAGCTGGACTGAGGTGGGGTGAGGCTGAGGCATTTATCACTATGATGAGTTATGGGAGCAGAACTGTTAATGATGAGACAGGGGGAGAGAGGAGTACCAGAGGGGAGAGAGAAATAACTCATATTAGCTTCAAGACATAAATAGACAAAGTGCTCCTTCATGAGACATCTCACAATATATGGTTCCTGGAGCACTCTGCATCTTCTCCTCTTTCTAAAATAATAAAGATATCTCAACTGACGTAGTTGCACATGGCTAATTACTTAGACCTGTTTTATGATGAGATGTGCTGGAACAACAAATCCTAAGGGTCTCGTGGATTACCTTGGATTGGACTGTTGTTGAAAGACAAATTAATATATTTTTATAAATTGTCGGCAACACATAGAGAAGGGACACTCTCAAATATTTTCTTTTTTATTTAAAAAAATAAAAAGTGATAGATTTTTTTCCCAAGGAAAGTGACTTTCATGAAGTGCAATACTGTAAAAGAGATCTGCTACTTCCATGAACCTTCAAATTTATACAGAAGATAAAAACAGATTTCAAAAAGGAAAGGATGTTGGATGGGGGTGTTAGAGGGTGAGCAGGATGGATGGAGGAACAGGAGGGGGACCACTAAGACCAAAAGGAGTGCATATGACCTTAAGGTACAGACACATGCAGGAGAGATAAAAAGGAAGCCGAAGAGAGGAGGAACCAATGAAATCCATTCAAAAGGTTCAAAACATTAAATCATTTTCATTGCATAAAATACCAGTGGATGTACAAGAATGATAAGACAGGGTAAAAAAAAATAGAAACACATTCGGAGACAAAACGCAAGACTGAAAAATCTACATGCCATGTGCAATACAGCTTAAAGCTGGGTTTGGGGTTTGATGGACAATTGCTAAGGTACTAAGATGGCAAATTCACTGCCAAGCATTAACATATCAGGGTCACATGGTGTGTGCTGTAAAAGAGAGAAAATAAGACTTGATTATAGATTCACCAGCTAGAAATAAGATGAATAGCAAACAAAAATATGTATGGAGAGGTTTTCGACATAAGAAAAGTTCACAGAACAAATCAGCTAATGTACAATGTGTTAATGTATTATGAGTTATGATTTCACAAACAACTGTCTGAGTCTGCTCAATCTAGAAATCTTTCTGGGAGAGCCTAAAATGTTAATGTTATAGGCTATACATACAGTAATGTTCTCCAAGAAATTAATCATGTTATCATTCTATTAAGCAAGGACACAATAAATCAATCAAAAGTCATTAAATTAATCAAAAAATAAAGAGATGCATCAGTACAGCAGCACAACTGCTTTCAAGATTGATGATATTAAGAAATGTTTCTTGAGCAGCAAATCAGCACTAGAATGATTTCTGAAGGATCATGATGTGACACTGAAGACTGGAGTAAGAGCTGCTAAAATGTTAGATTTGAAATCATAGGAATAAATTACTTTTTAAAATATATTTCAGTAGAAAACATGTATTTTAAATTGTAATAATATTTCACATTATTACTGTTTTTACTGTATTTGTGATCAAACAAATGCAGCATCAGTGAACATAAGAGACATCTTTATTATAACTATTTATTGTATATGACAGGTTTGGGACACTGAGTAGGACCTTGAAAGGGACCAACTCTACAGCATACACATAATTTCAGAAAAAAGTATTTAACCAATAATATTTTTTTAAAGGTACTGACAGGCACTCAATCCAGGGCTATTTTCATTCATGAATGTAAGCGAGAGATCAGACACTGAGCAATGAAGTCAGTGACCTGTGCATGCACACACATTTGGCTCTCCCCAACCACTCCTTACCCCTCATTTCCCATTTTCCAAATCTGATCTTGATTTTTTCCCGAAGGTTCCCACTGAAGTTTGCCTACAAAAGGGCCCTACATGTTTATCTACCAGCACAGAGGGGCACTATGAGCTCAGAGCCCAAACACCAATGAGAGCAGTTTACACATTGAGTGGCCTCTCAGGATTACCTCATGAACATTTAAGACTATCCTACTCGAAAAACATACAAAACCTACATCCAGCTACAATGACCTACCTACAGTCACCTATATTAAAGAAATCTTTAACTGTGGGAAAGATGGTTAGACAAAATAAAAAAAACTACAAATACAGTGGGTACGGAAAGTATTCAGACCCCCTTAAATTTTTCACTCTTTGTTATATTGCAGCCATTTGCTAAAATCATTTAAGTTCATTTTTTTTCCTCATTAATGTACACACAGCACCCCATATTGACAGAAAAACACAGAATTGTTGACATTTTTGCAGATTTATTAAAAAAGAAAAACTGAAATATCACATGGTCCTAAGTATTCAGACCCTTTGCTCAGTATTTAGTAGAAGCACCCTTTTGATCGAATACAGCCATGAGTCTTTTTGGGAAAGAGGCAACAAGTTTTTCACACCTGGATTTGGGAATCCTCTGCCATTCCTCCTTGCAGAGCCTCTCCAGTTCTGTCAGGTTGGATAGTAAACGTTGGTGGACAGCCATTTTTAGGTCTCTCCAGAGATGCTCAATTGAGTTTAAGTCAGGGCTCTGGCTGGGCCATTCAAGAACAGTCACAGAGTTGTTGTGAAGCCACTCCTTCGTTATTTTAGCTGTGTGCTTAAGGTCATTGTCTTGTATATATATATATATATATATATATATATATATATATATATATATATATATATATATATAAGGCAATTTGGACTTCATGTTGATTTTAAAGCTATATAGATTTATCCTATAAGAAAGCCAAAGAATATCCTTCTGGATATGGAACAGGAACAAAATCAGAGCAACCTGTAATGGGTCCAAAGAAGCATTTATGCAACATGGCAAACACAAATTCCTCAATATAAAATAACGATCTGTTGGCAAGAGCAAGCGATGTATAGGGAGCAGGCTGTTAAGTGATTATATCCCCCTCTCAAAAATGTGCAATAAATGTGTGGTGCATGTTTCATCCAGGGATCAGGTTACTGAATATTAATGTCAAGAGGAACCACAACAGAGTGGTGTTACTGAATAAAAATGGGTTGATACAGCAGGCTTGTCCTTTTGCTTTTGTAAGTATGCTCAGAGAATCTTAAAAAAAAGAGAGAACTGCAAGTATTTCAAACACAGGAGAATGCTGTTTGCATGTAAAGATGCTTAAAGATATACATGAAAATGTATTCATACTCAGGCCATCCAAGATGTACAGTGGTGTGAAAAAGTTGTCCTGTTACTTTCTTTCTCATTTGTTTCTGAATTTCTTTGGATCTCGGCATGATGTCTAGCTTTTGAGGATCTTTTGGTCTACTTCACTTTGTCAGGCAGGTCCTATTTAAGAGATGTCTTGATTGCGAACAGGTGTGGCAGTAATCAGGCCTGGGTGTGGCTAGAGAAATTGAACTCAGGTGAAATAAACCACAGTTTTAACAGGGGGGCAAACACTTCTTCACACAGGGCCATGTAGTTTTGGATTTTGTTTTCCCTTAATAATAAAAACCTTCATTTAAGAACTGCATGTTGTGTCCACTTGTGTTATCTTAGATTAATATTTAAATTTGTTTGATGATCTGAAACATTAAAGTGTGACAAACATGCAAAAAAATAAGAAATCAGGAAGGGGGCCAACACTTTTTCACACCACTGTAGATGAGATTGTTTCTTCATCGGAACAGATTTGGAGAAATGTAGCATTTGCTCTCGATCACCAAAGAATCCTCTGCAGTGAATGGGTGCCGTTAGAATGAGGGTATAAACAGCTGATAAAAACATCTCAAAATAATTCACAAGTAATGTAATTAATCAACAAACTGAATGTTTGTAATAAAAATTAAAGACATATTTTGGGCATTTTTGCCTTTATTATGATAGGACAGTATGTAGACAGGAAGCAAAGCTTGAGAGAGAGAGAGAGAGAGAGAGAGAGAGAGAGGGGGGGACGGGATTGTGAAAAGTCCACGAGTCTGGATTCGAACTTGGGACACACAAAGCGCAACAACGCTCTATGTAGTCATGCTGACATTTTGGTGGATTTGGATGATAGAAGACAACAAGGGATGGACTTTTCACTGGGGGAAGCATTATTATGGATTATGGACTGGTATTATTTGGCCAGAAGCGACAGTTTAAATTTAAAATGTTTTATTGATGGACTTGTTTTTTTGCAAACACAGCTTTCTGCTTCACAAGACATTCATTGGTGGACTGGAGTCATGTGGATTACTTATGGATTATTGTGATGTTTTTAATCAGTTGTTTGGACTCCCATTCTGACGGCACCCATTCACTGCTGAGGATCCATTGGTGAGCAAGTGATGTAATGTTAAATTTCTCCAAACCTGTTCTGATGAAGAAACTCAGTTATATCGAGGATGGCCTGAGGGTGAGTAAACTTTCAGCAAATTTTAATTTTAGGTGAACTATATAGATGCATAAGAATGCATCTACATCAGCCTCTACTGCCAAATACAACCAAAATACAACTAATGTAAAGGCCATCTTTAGCATTCAAAATG